AAAATGAAGCCGACTGTCCATCAATTAAAAATAAAAACAGATTTTCATAAATAGTAAAATCTAAAAAGCAATTTTTCATGCCTCATTTCAAAGAGAGTTACTCAATATAGAGTAAAATTTTTTAAAAAGGCAGAAGATTTTGTGGACAGAAACAGTTGCTCTAACTGCTGAGCTCAAAAAATTTATGCTGATTCTGCAGTAGACCTTGAAAATATTTTTTTAGCATACCTCAGTCCTATCTTTATAATGATGGTTTAATAGAAATGTTAGCTATTGAGTAGTCAAGTGATTGGATGTAGCAAAAGTTAGAAGATTCTTTTGATATATTTTCTCACCACAAAAAAATGAATATGAGAAAATATAGGAAAAACAAAGTGATGAAAAAGAAAGTAAAAACACACTTACCACAAATAATGGAAAGCCAAGTTTTTTATATGAAATACAGTAAAATGTGCACTTTTTGTAAAGTTTAATGGAATAGAAGAAAGTATTATTGATTGTTCTTGATGGTAAGAATATCCCCCCATGAGCAGCATTCATGTCCTGATATTGGATGTCAGAAAGGCTAATAGAGATGCTAATTAGAAATAAGTTCATTATAATTATCTCAGATATTTTTTTAAAAACTTCAAGACCTCATTTGAAAAGAGCAATATATACTTAAGAAGTAACTACGGTTTCTCTAGTGAATAATGTGTATCAAAATCTGCTAAGGTCTTGGGGTATGCAAATATATTTGAAATGCATCAGAGAGCACATATGAAAAAAATACTACTTATTATGTTATTTAAATAAAGTGAAATATCATACCAAAAGTTAAAAAAATTAACTTTTGGGAAAAAAAGCAAAAGGGTGCACCAGTATTTGAAATGAGGTAATAATAATTTTTACTATAATTGTTTCTAAGTCTCATTTCACTCTTTATTTTAATTATCCATTATGTTAAGAAACCCTATAGGTGTTAAACTATATAAGGCACATATATTGTGGTGTGAGGTGTTATTGGAAAATATTAGCATTTGGTGAATAATGCCATCAATTTTCTGTTTTACAATATTAAAGAACTATTTCAGATTTATTGCAATGGATAGTTTTGTTTAAAGTAACAGTATTTTTTTTTAATGTAGAAATTACTAAGAAAAAATTAGGTGTTCTCCAAAAGTCTGTAACAACCTTATTTGATGAACTTTGTTTCATAATGTATAAGAAAAGTTGCTTCCCTACCCCAAACCAGACATCATTGGAATTACCTTGTGTAGTATCAGCACATACAAGTTTAGAGGAGGACTTTTGCATCTTTTCTCCTTTTACTTCCCACCTACAACATGGCTTATTTTTCATAAGCAAATTTATATGCTTGTTCAACCTCTCACACATCTCAGAATTCACTGGGAGGGATCCCTGACAATCTAGAAACAAACATATCGGAGACAGTGTATGGATTAATATATGAAGAAGTTCAAGAAAATATTGATCTGGCCATGAGATGGTGTGGTAACTATACAGAAAGCTAAAAATTGAAATTGAATGAAATATAATACTCCCAAGAATTACTATGAATTATGTAGTCTTTGGAAGCAGATATTTTAAGTAGAAAGCTCTTGAGACTGATGTCCACTGCATCTTTTATATGAATATTTGCTCTGGTTTTGAGAGCCACCAGATTTTAGGCAGTAAACTTTTGGCTTGATATAGCATAATCAGAAAGCCCAGCATTCTCTTTTTATACCTAGGCATTGTTTACTAAACATTCATTGATTTTTTTGCAGTTTTCCCTTATTTTAATATACTTAGCCCATTAGTCTTGTCACATTCATATTCATTAATTCTTCAAAAAGTTATTTAATTAAATATCCTATTGTCTTTAAAATATCAACCTAAATTAATTTCTATACTCTAAAGCATTTTATTGTAGAATCTAGAATCGTTATAACTACTAAGAAATGACATTCTATGTTTCATTTTTACCATTGTCTCTCTCATACTACTTTCATTATGATTTGAGTATATCCCCCCAAATGCTCATGTGTTTGGAACTTAGTTTCAAAGGGAGAGAGTTGGGAAATAGTGGAATGTTTAAGAAATGAGATCTACTAAATTGTGGTTAGATCATTGGGAGAGATGTTCTTGGAGAGGTTTAGTGTAACGTTCATGGGGCACAATATAGTTCTTATTAAAGCTGGTTGTTACAAAAGAGCAAGTCTTTTTTTCTGAATTTCTCTGACTTCCTGTCTCATTATTCTCTCTACCTCTCAAATGAGCCCTCACCAAAATGCCACCTCATGTATAATGCAGGTGAAGGAGCTATCACAGGAGCTGAGAAGATTCTGGTACAGTGCACTTAAATCTTCAGAACTATGTACTCAAAAATATTTTTATTTATTTATAAGTTGTAGTTGGATACAATATCTTTATTTTATTTATTTATTCATTTTTATGTGGTGCTGATAATTGAACCCAGCTTCTTGCATGTGACAGGTGAGCACTCTACCACTGAGCCACAACCCCTGCCTCTCAAAAAATATCTTTATGCATTTATATCTCTTTTTATACATTGGCCTGTTTCTGGTATTTTTCTATAGCATTATAAAACAGACTAAAAGAACCTCTGTGTCTTATTTCTAAATAAAAGATGTGAGACTTTGCAATGTATTATTAAAAAATTCTGTAAAAGCTTTAGAATAAGAACTGTTATGCATTCACTGAGTGACCTGTAGTGAGTGATTAAATATCTTTTAGTCTAAGGCATCTTACTATGCGAGTGAGTAGAACATCTAAGATTACATATTAAAAGCTCTGGTATAGTTTAGATGGTAATGGCTTAGAATTTCTGATTCTTATTGGTTTTTATATTTTAAAGGTGATATCTTGTATTTATTATATTACTCATGGTGCTTAAGTTAATGTATTGCCATTTACATTGGACTCAATTATGTGGAATTTATTTTGGTTAGTAAAGGAAAAAAAGAGTGGTTCCTTAGAATATAGCAAGGACTCAATGAGAATGTTTTTTTTTTTAATGGGAAGAATTGTCTCATAGCTAATGATTATATAGGGAATTTACATCTTGATGACACCCATTAATCAGAAATGGTCTGAAGTGATTATATCAAAACCATTAGAAAACCATCAATAAAGAGGCAGGTTAAAAAATAGATTTTTCTAGCACCATTTTTAGTCTCCTATTAGAGTACAAATAATAGTATTTTTTACCAGTGAAAGGACTCAAACACATGTAGCTGCATTTTAAGCCTCCTGTAATCACACAAGTCACCATCAATCATAATACCATTGTAGGAATAGAAATGTACATCTTCACAGGCAGAAAAATCAAATACAAAAAGTGCAATTTTCCTTATGCAAAAAAGGTACTTGTTATTTATGTCATAAATAAATAAAGCCTGTTTTTTGAGTAAAAGCTTTGCCACATTTTTTACATTTGTAGGGCTTCTCTCCAGTGAGTTCTGCTGTGGTGAATAAGGTCTCTGTTTTGACCAAAAGCTTTGCCACATTCTTTACATTTGTAGAGCTTCTCTCCACTGTCACTTCTCCTGTGGCAAATAAGATTTGATTTTTCACCAAAAGCTT